ATATATATATATATATATATATATATATATTCTGTGCAAGAGAATTTAATTGGATACACACTTTTGATCTACAAGAAAGGGCAATCCAAATATTTATTTTATTTAAACAATTTATATGACTACCCACCTCACTATTAAGTCTTTGGGTGGAAGAATCCTTCCTTCCTTCCTTCCTTCCTTCCTTCCTTCCTTCCTTCCTTCCTTCCTTCCTTCCTTCCCCATACAAATGGACTTTTTGCATAAAATACAGCATGTTATAAAATAAATTAAATTGCAACTGGGGAGTTCTGTAATGGTTTGCTTCAAGAACAACTCGTTGATCAGTTTGAAATGTCATATCGTCTCCCTGGGTCATTGTTTTATCAGACAAGCAGAAACATGCTGGGCAGACAGTTACAGATCATACAAGGTCAAAATATTCACATGACATCATATTCGGCGTGTAGAACTATTATTTCATTTGTGGACTGCTCTGTGGGGTATTGTAACTAGATCAGAGTGATGTAGGCTGAAATAAAATGAATACGGACTGGAATCTTGTATAAACATAAGCACAGCATCTTTCTGATAGTAAATACAATAAAGCTGCTCTGTCCTTTTCTTCAGGCTGATACGGGTTCATGATTTTAATGAGTAGAAGAAGTTTTGAGTTTGTTCAAAATCTGAAGCACTTCTCCACTTGTTCATTTCCATATTCACACTCCCTTCTGCTCCCTCTCTTCCTCTCCATCTGAAGTAAAGGACAAGGGGAAAAATAGAGGGGCATCAGGGGACAGCATCTGGAGTGCCTGGCAAGGACACTCCTCCTCCGCTCATGATTTCATGACTCTCTCTGGGTTCAGACTTATGGGAAGAAGGTTTAAAGGTACATGGACTGCTTCTTCTATTCTCTCCCTTTCCCACAATCTCCCTCTTGTAAGGATCCAATTTCAATGCATCCACCATCTGGAAAGAATATTACTTCAGCTAGACTTCAGGAACATGAGAACACTTTTCTTCAAACAGCCAGCCCATACATACCCTCAGCTTCACAAATATTTATACAAATCTAAAACCCCCAATAATCTTAACTAAATCACCTTATTTTTGCTGGTATATCCCAGTGATATTGAGCTGCAGTGCATGAATTGACTGGTGGTCTGCTTTTAATTTCCTGTTTTACAGATGATGTAATTTCACTGCTTTCTTGACTATGGAAACCTAATATTGTGTTTGCTGTTAATTTTGCATTCATTTTTACAAGTCCTGCATTGTCTATTTTCACCATTCTTGGTCATGAAAAACAGTGGGGTACTTAGGCAGAATCTGTTTGTCTGTCTATCTGTACTTACATCTGCCTGTATTTACACCTGTCTGTCTGTCATCTATGTCTATCTATCATCTATGTCTGTCTATCTATCATCTAATTTCACACGCATCCCTGTCAGACAGCTAACAACCAATCAATTGGCAGCCCCTGATATCAAATATGTGAATGGAGTTTGGAACACATCAAATCCATCACCTAGATCAGACCTGCACAACTTGTAAAGGGGACAGGATGACACTGATACATTAAAAATCATTGCAAGCTGCAAAGAAATAGTTGATGTGCCATTCAGCTACTCTGCAGCTAATGGAGCAGAGTTAATGGAATTATTACTTGCTAAAAATTGCCAGCAGGCCACACAAAGACTGCTTCGTGGGATACTTGTGGCCTGAAGGCCATATGCTATGCAGGCCTGACCTAGATGCTGCATACATCTTGATCATGGTCAGGCTGCAATGAAAACCAATAGGAAAGGACTGCAGAAATGTGGAGCATTCCAGAGACATACCTCTGGGTGCATAAGAGCCATAATTTTTAGAATTATGACAAACATGCATTGGTTGAAGTAGTTAGTGCACATCTAAGGGAAGACATGTTGACATCTTCTTGGAACTTTCTGATATCAGTTAGATAATTTAGATCAATCAATGAGTCTCTGGAAGGCATTCAAAACAGCCACAACCCTTTCAGTTTCTAGAGGAATTGCTTGATGGCGTCATTACCAGGTGGAAGCCTTCTGATATACATATGTGATATATCTTAATAATATACATTAGGGCTTTGAACCTGATAGTGATATCATCTCTCATAGGTTCCTATTCAAAATAATAGAAGTATCCGCTTTGCCTGGTAGTCCTTTAGATTAATTGTTTCCATTTGTAAACAGTAAAGTAATCATTACAATCAGAGGTGACATGCAAGTAGTAGTAGTAGTAGTAGTAGTAGTAGTAGTAGTAGTAGTAGTAGTAGTAGTAGTAGTAGTAGTAAAAGTCATAGGTACTGGAGTTCCAGTGTCTTAAGGATACACTATATTGCCAAAAGTATTTGCTCACCCATCCACATAATCAGACTCAGTTGTGAGGAAATACCTTTGGCAATATAGTATATATAGCAGACTTTAAAACAGCATTTCTTCAAGGACTACAATCCAAAAGTAGGCAAAGGCAGGATATTTGAGTCTGTGTGTGTGTGTGTGTGTGTGTGTGTGTGTGTGAGAGAGAGAGAGA